TTGCTCAGGCTGGTCTTGAACTCCTGAGATCAAACGATCCTCCCACCTCAGCCTCCCAGAGTGCTAGGATTACAGGGATGAGCCACTGCGCCCAGCCCATAGTACTTTTTGACAATGTAAAATTATATTACTTAGTGTTTGAACTTTTATTGGCTTTCTCCATTAGTAGAATATAAACACCCTGAGAGCAGGGGCTTTTTCTATTGTGTTCCAGCGACTGGATCAGTATTTTACACATTGGATGGATGGATGGATGGATGGATGGATGGATGGATGGGTGGATGGATAGAAATGCATGTCAAGCCCCTCCCCCATTGTGCTCTTCAAAACCTAGCTCATGATTAATATTAATATTTAATAGTAACAGTAATAGCTGCCCTGCCATGTTTCATGCACCCTATTGGGTCCTTTTTATATACATTATTTCATTTAATCTTTTCAATGACTCCTCAAGGGAGGAGGCACTATCATCCCTATATTATAAGATGCGGAACCAGAAACTCCCAAAAGTTCATGAACTTGGCCAACGCCACTCATGCTTACTAGATATATAAGTGTGTTCTCTTGCAAACAAACTCTCTTCACTTCCTGTCTGAAATTTCTTAGAGCTGGGGTTTAGGATCAACATTCTCTTATTACTAGGTCTTTCTTCTAGACTGCTCGAGATTTGATTGTTCCCGACCATAAAGACAGGGAAGCTCTCTTAGGACATGAGTGCAGCACACGAAGGACACCAGTTGTATTGGTTTAGGGCCCACCCTAATCCAGGATGGCCTCATCTTAACTTGATTACATCTGCAAAGACCCTATTTCCAAATAAGGTCACATCCCTGGGTACCAGGGGTTAGGACTTCTACATATCTTTTTGTGGGGAGGACACAATTAAACCCATGACACCTACCTGCTCTACCAAGATAGAATCAGAGAGATAATCCTTTGAATTCCTTCATCTTCCCATTTCTCATTGAATCCCAAGCAGGTTCTTTGGGTTTCCGTCTCCCACTGCCTGGTCCTAACCGTCTCGCCAGCTCCACCTCCCACATAGCCACCGGTCACTTCCAGTGTCACGCTGCTCTTTTAAAATCTCTGATGCTCCCCACCACCTAGAGCTGCAGTTCCCAACCCCCGGGCCACAGACCGGTGCTGGTCCATGGCCTGTTAGGAACCAGCTGCACAGCAGGAGTTGAGCTATGGGCAAGTGAGCGACTTCATCTGTATTTACAGCCGCTCCCCATCGCTGGCATCACCGCCCCAGCTCCGCCTCCTGTCAGATCAGCTGCGGCATTAGATTCTCACAGGAGCATGAACCCTACATAAACTGCACGTGCGCGGGATCCAGGTTGCAGCTCCTAATGAGAATCGAATGCCTGATGATCCGAGGTGGAGCTGAGGCGGTGATGCCAGTGCTGGGGAGTGGCTGCAAATGCAGGTGATCATAGCACATTAGGTTTGACTGCACAATAAATGTGATGCATTTGAATCATCCTGAAACCATTCTTCCCCCGATCCTGGTCCGTGGAAAAATTGTCTTCCATGAAACCAGTCCCTGGTGCCAAAAAGGTTGAGGACCGCTGGCCTAGAGGACCATGTTTAGATTCTGGCTGGACACATGGCTTTTTACTCCTGCCTCTCTCCAGCTAAATTTCTGCCTCTACTTCCCATGGTTCCCAGACTTCAGCCACACGGAATTTCTCCACAGTCCCCAAATGTATTATAACATCTGTCACTTCTACAGAACCTTTTTCAGCCTTTTTCAAACTTTTATTATGAAATTGACCACATCATGAGGTAATCACGTATTTGTTTACGTCTCCCCCAGCAACACCCCCAGCACTCACTGCCCAGTGGCGGTGTGAGCTCTGACTCATCTTGACATACCTAGGGATGAGTATGCTTCTCAGCACCCAGAGGTATTTTTTGAACAAATGGGGCCTTAGTTCTGCCACTTCCTTTGGCCTTGAATGAATTGCTTAACCTCCTGGAGGCTCGGTTTCCTCATTTTGTGAGTTTAGAGAATCTGTGAGACTCCTTAATCAGTGACATTCTGCAGTGGCCCTGACCTTGGTGTGCTGCGCTCATGTCCTAAGACAGCTTCCCTGTTTTTATGGTCAGGAACAATCACATGAATTGGGGAAGAGTCTGGCCAGTAACACTGAACTAGCATTTTCCTGAAACCTCTTTGCAAATAATTTTTCAGCAAAAGGCTTAGTTAGGGAAGCCCCTAGGCAGGGTCTAACACACGATGGGGAACAGGCCACAGCGACTTTCTGCATGATATCCTGGAAGCCTGAAGGATTTCTGCTTTGCCAAGGGGACCGGAAAGGAGTGTTGTGCCCACCCAGTAGCTCAGAACCATAAAATCGGAGGACTGCAAGAGACCTTAGGAGTCATCTGATGCTTAATTCCCCTGTATGCCTTCATAGCACGCATGCAGAGTAAGGAGATGGGTGAGACTGGCCCACAGCAAGGTCTATATATACATCTATCTACCCCATTGTCAAGAGTTCTTCCTCTGTTTCATAGTCAAAAGTTGTTTTATTTAGGGGAATGACCACATTTTACTATATTCAGATGAATAACATACTTAAGGAATTGTTTATTTTGCTGCTTAAAAGGACACCTCTATGCAAACAGCTGCTTTGTGCATCTTGTTGCAAGCACAATGAGATTTATAGTTTACTCCTGGAAATTGGGCTCTCACCTGACATGCATCAAAGATCAAAACCAAAGAAAGTTAATATACTGAACTCGAGGTAACAATGCCAACTTTCTAAATGCCTCAGGGTAGGAAAAAAAGCTGCTTTTTAAGAAGAATTATAAACATTAAACTGCTGAAGAGACTGACACCTGTCTCTCTCCCATGACAAGCAGAATAAGAACCCTATTATGTAGGTTAGAGAGCTGTGTTTCAGGTGCTGAAAGACAAGGGCATCTGTCTGGCTTTGCGAAGAGAATGCTGTGGGAATGGGTGGGATGTCACATTCCATCCCATAAGCTCTGCTTAGTGTATTTCTCGTCAATATGACCTTCAGATTCATTGAGGCAACAAATCCTTTTAGCTATTGGGCCACGTTACCTGAGTTGATAGAGATTTCCAATTTTAAGGGCCTCCAAAGAGGATGATTATTGAAGTAACATTTGCAAAAAAAAAAAAAAGCTAACATGGGGAATTCATGAGGAAGCATTGAACCGCAGCGACAATGGCATGTCCAGCCGCCATTCGAAAGCGTGTTCTGCCATCTGCTGGCCGCATGGAAAACTACAGCCGGCGCGGGGCTGTTTTGTTGCCCTGGGTCAAGGGCGGAGAGGAACCCCCAGTAGCTACACAAACCGGAATTGACACCTCTTCAAATGCAAATGCTGAAAGACCTAAATAAAGAAAACAGCCTATTTAAAGATAAAAGTATAGGAGCAGACTTTCCTCAATTGCATCACAAGGCCACAAAAAGGAATTCTTTATTATGTCTGAATTTTTTCTGTGGTTATCTTTAAAATATGGGATGTGGGCTACATAGCTTAAAATAAATATAGAAATTCTAGGTGAGAGGTCAAAAGACCACCAGGGTTCTGGGGGGTCATGGGGTAAGATGTATAGGAACCTCTCTAAGCCTCAGTTTTCTCATCTGTAAATCCGAAAATTACTGAGCTCTCAAGCTTTTGGAGACTGTGAGTGTCTCATTGTATTTCTGGGCAAAGACGACAGCAGCACAGGCTGCTGCGGGCTGGGTCGCTAGACGGGCCAGGAGGGGAACTAGGGCAGAAGTTTAAGGTCTCGAGGCCCTTTGATTAGATCGACTTTGAAAACAGCCATGTCGTGGAGGCCGGTGATGCAGCTGAAAGCAAAAGTGGGGGGGGGGCCCTTCCTGCCCGCTGGGGAGCCGGCAGGTGCTTGCAGCTCTTTTGGTTCCTGTGTCGCCTTCAGCACCATCAGAAATGTATGCTTAACCTAGCCAGATCAACAGACTCCTCTGAGGAAAAGAGGAAAAGGAAGAGGTAGTCCCCCACACACGATGGCTGTGGTTGGTCATTATTTTTCTATATAATAAAGTTTACTAAAATTATAACGATCCACGAAAATCCACATGGCACATATTGCAGAACCTGGGTGTGGCTGCCGGCCCCCCTCACCTGACAGCTGCAAGACTTCCAGGGGGACAGGAAATGTTGTGCTGGTGTTATTTCCCTCCACAATTTCTCTGACATCGGAGCTGGAACACCTGCCGTGCTCAGGGCCGTGTGCTAAGTAGCGAATAAGACAGACAGAGCTTCCAGTCTAATGGAGGACAGAGACTTTCAGAGACAGAAACAAAGTGCAGGAATTATTAAGCGTGATGAGGATTAAGAGGCGTGCAGGGTGTCTCTCTTTCTCCTTCGTGCCTGTCCCTGTCATCGCTGTCTTTGACTGCGAGCTCCCGGAAGGCCTGGGCAACCCTTGTTCAGCACCCAAAGCCACCGCTCAGTGCCACTTGTACCAAGTGCGATAGAAAGAAATGTCCCTTGCCCAGGCTGTGCATCCGGAGGCCACCGGCCCACTCGGGTAGGCGATAGTAGTTAAGAAAGTTATCACTGCCAAACTGAGTCCTTGGGAGCAGAAATGACCCCAGGACTAGATTGTGGAGGTTGCAGAATCGCAAGTCCTGTAGGCATTAATTCTGTGATGTAAGAATCAGACCAGGTAAGCCCCCTTGTCATCTGACAAAGGGAGAAACAGCTCAGATCCCTCCCGGGCCAGAGACACGATAGAGGGGAAGGCTTTCAGAAGTTAACAATGCAGACGTGAAAATTATTATCGATACTAGAATGAAAGTGCTGATGATAAAAGATATGAAAAATTCTTAAGAGTTCCCCTCTTCCCGACCACAAAATCGCAACCAGTAATTTTTGCCATCACCTCAGTAAATCACATATATTTCGTTTTTCAAAAATTTTTTCTGACAGGTGCTTTGAGCTCCTAATAAATGAAGTGTTTATAAATTGTCTTTGAACCTGCTTCTCTCTAGCACCCCCAAATTCAGAAGGAGTCCCAGTATATCAAGTATCTCTGCTGTGATGACGCAAGAACTCTCAACCAGTGGGTTATGGGAATTCGGATCGCCAAGGTGAGAGCGTGTCCCGATGTCCCCTACCTGGAACGTGCCAGCCTCCTGGCCTGGGTCTGACTTTTGTGCCACTGTAGCGGCTGACCCACTCTTGGGTATAGCCACAGACATCGTCCTGTCCACCTGCCCAGTGGGGTTTTTCACTAGCAGGGAGTATAGAAACAGGGAGCTCTCCGGTGCCCTGAGAGTTGAGGGTTGACTTTCACATAAGACTTTTCAGATATTTACTCTTGGAGATTATTGCAAGCTTAGCGTGCAGTTAAGAAACACAAGATCTTAGTGGGGAGTGGTGGCACACACCTATAGTTGGAACTACTTGGGAGGCTGGGGTGGGAGGATCGCTTGAGCCCAGGAGTTTGAGGCTGCAGTGAGCTATGTGGACCCCTTCACTCCAGCCTGGAAGACAGAGCAAGACCTTGTCTCAGGGAAAAAAGAGAAAAAAGAAACACAACATGGACTGTACGATAGAGTTAGGTAAAGACACATGTAATCAGAATTGTGTGGCCAAAGCTCTCTAATGTGTGGGTAAAAGGATTAATGGATTCTGTTCATCTGGAAAATTATTGAACGTGGGAAAAAACAATTTGTGGATATTTTTAGTCGAAATATACCAAAGAACCAACTTGGCAGTCTTGGAATATTCTTTTTTCTCAATGTGTATATTGCAGTCAAGTGCAGAATTTGGGATAAATGGATTCCTTTCTCTCTCCTTTGTGCCCCTCTCTAGTATGGGAAGACACTCTATGACAACTACCAGCGGGCCATGGCCAGGGCTGGCCTTGCCTCTCGGTGGATCAGCATGGGGACTGTCAATGCAGTGACACCAGCCCAGCCTTGCACAGGTACCAAGCGGGAGCGATCCCAACACTTACTCAGAGCTCAGTGCTCATGTTCAAAACGCATCCAATACATTCTATAAAAACAGGACATTATAGACACCATTCAGAATGTGTCCCTCTTCTGATGGCCCTAGCCCCCCTACGCACCCCGAATCTGTTTTCTTATAAGTGACCTTTGACAAAGTATTGACCACTTTTTTCAGGATATGCTTGTGGCCAAGGTGCTGACCTCCAATTTAGGGTGACTAGGGAGGTGTTTCTCGTCGAAGCACAAATATTCTACGAGGCTCCGTTAGTCCCCAGAAGCCTTCCTACGCCAAGGGAGAGCTCGCCCCCGGTGTTGTGCCTCAGTGGCATCGTGGCTAGAACCCTGCACCCAGTCTTGGAGGTCACATTGCGCGGGGAGCACAACAGCACCTTGTCTGTGCTTTTAAGAAGGAGAACAGGACACTGAGGGATGCAGCGGGGACTATTTTCTGGTTCTTACAGCGTCCCTGCAAAATCTAGATTCCGATCCCCACTCCACAGCGGGGGGCACTGCAGGTGAGAGGAGCATCTAGTACCTAGATACTTCGTTCTGGGACAGATACTCAAGCTCAAGTCTCTCTCACTGACAAGGGCTCGGGAAATGTGCCCAGTTTCTTCCTCTGGGCTGTTTCCAGAAAGCGGCATATGTCTAATCTCTTCTAAATCCAGCATTCCTGGGAGGACTCACTGAAGGTCATTAAAGGAATTTAATGAAGGTCATTAAATGGTCTTGAACCAGCTCTTTATGCAGCCTCCACCCAGGACATGAAAATGAATTATGATTCAAACCTTACGATTGGGTGCCTACTTCGTAAATTCAGTGGGGAACAGACCCAACATTCCCTTTCGTGTAGACATAGTTTCAAGTCTAGAAAAGAAAACTTCAGAATCGTTTTTAAGTATGATTCGTGTTTTGTTTTGTTTCCTTGACAACCTATTTTTCATGGACATCTCATTTTCTTTAAGACTCTGGATTGATGTTGACAGACAAGGTCTGACCAAGGAAAAACTGAGGTTCTAAGTTCTTTGATTTGGGGGAACTTGAAATCATAAGTGTAGTGCTTTTTTTAAGTTCTTTGAGTCATTCTAGCAAATAATTAAACCTTGAAGGGGTCCTGAATTTGAAGAGGGCTGATAAGAAGTGCGGGTGGCCAACTCATAGGGTTGAGCCCCGAAATCTGCGGCGTCTGACACTAACTACAGGTGGTTCATGTCAGCACAGGTTCTTAGGTTCTGTCACTGCTGCAAGCCCTACAGAGAACAGTATGCTGAGATTTTAAAACAAACGTACTGGGAGCCGTCCCTGCTTATTAATGCAATGCTTCAGTGGGCTTCTAAAGGGGAAACAAATCCTCAATTCAAGATTTCTTTTCATTTATGCCGAATCTATTGCCACGGGCACCTGCCGTGTGGGATTTTAAACTCTGAAGAGCTGCATCAGTGACCAGCTTGGAAGGGACTGACGTTTATTCTTCTCAGTTATACACATACATGAACACATACAATGGTTGCATCTTAGTGGTTGAAGAAATGATGCCATCTTTTAAAATCTGGTTCTCAGCCAGGCGCAGTAGCTCACGCCTATAATCTTGGCACTTTGGGAGGCCAAGGTGGGAGGATTGCTTGAGATCAGGAGTTCAAGACCAGCCTGAGCAAGAGCAAAATCCCCGTCTCTACTAAAAACAGAAAAATTAGCTAGGCATGGTGCCACACACCTGTAGTCCCAGCTACTCAGGAGGCTGAGGTAGGAGGATTGCTTGAGCCCAGGAGTTTGAGGTTGCTGTGAGCTAGGCTAATGCCATTGCACTCTAGCCCAGGCAACAGAGCAAGACCTCATCTTGAAAAAAAAATTCAATTCTTGCCAAATACTGTTATTGAAGCCTCTCTGTCTCCACCTGAATTCATGTCACAAAACCCGTAGGGCCCTTGGGATGTGTTTAAGGGAACTTTGTCCGTCCAAGGAGCCCAGGACAAATCAAACCATATGTCCTTCCAACACCCCCGCCCCTCAAAATACAGTTAAAATGAACTTCAAGAATAGTCTTGGGGGAAAAACATTCCCTGGGGTCAGAGGAGTTATTGGCTGATTGCACTTACTTGAACCTCTAGCTGTTTGGGGCACTAGTCGGGGAGCCCCCTTCACCCCTAAGAACTGTTCCCCTGAGTCAGAGCCCAGCAGAGTGGACCTTAGGAACCTCCAGGATGGATCCCAACAAGAACTGAGCTGAGGGGTGCTATGGCGTTCACACTGCATCCCCTCGGGACACGCTGCAAAGCCATTTGGTAGGGACAGAGGTCCCATCTGCCTGATGGCTTCTGAGCATTAGTCAGCAGCTTTTCTCAGGGGATCTAGAATCCCTCTCTGCCCACCTCCTCCCCACCTTCCTCTTCTCCTGCCTTCCCTTCTCTCCACAGTTGAACTAGAGTCCTGGAGCAATGAGAAGTAGGGAAGGTCGCTGGCTGTCAGGCCACAAACCACATGGGATTAGCGCATTTCTACTAGGATTCCCCAAACTGCAAAGAACACGAGGCAGCGTTGTTCTATTATATATCCAAAGTGTACACCAAGAAGTCATTTATTCTAGACAAATGGCAATTTTTTTTTTCTTTCCTAATAGGGAACAGCCATGGAGGCTTTTCCAGTACTTATAAAATGACTTTAGCAGATAGTTTTAGCCAACACTCTTAAATTTACAAGTGGACACAAGTATCTAAACATACAGAAAAGCCGCACGACTAGTGCAAAGAACTCCCGTGTACCCTTTACACAGATTGCCAATATTGACCATTTTGCCACATCTCTTTTGTCATTTTCTCACTCCACACTGCTTTCTACATGTGTTATCCATGTACATATTTGTTTCTGGACCATTTGGGAGTAGATGGCGTATGTCACTCTCCTTTGTCCCTTAAATCTCCAGTGTGTATTTATTGGAACTACAGTCTACACAGTCTATATTCCAGTTTTGCCAGTTGTCTCGATGTTGCCCTTGAACACAGTGTATTCTTCCTGGCACGGCTTCAGCCCAAGATCCTGTGTCGCATTTAGTCCTCGTGCTTCTGTAGTCTGCTCTCATCTGGAACCGTGCCTTAGCCTTTGTCTATCAAGACATTCTCCTTTTGTTACGAATAAGGGCCATTTATAGAATGTCCCTCAATTTGGATTCATCTGTTATTTCCTCCTAATTCTTCAGGTTATGCACCTCGGGCAGACGTGAGTGCTGCTGTGACCTTATCAGGGTCTCGCAGTGGAAGAAACACCGTGTCTGTCTGCCCTTGTGGAAACACGAAGGATCTCTTGCACTCTGACCACTCTAAGGTGTTGTCCAACTTCTCTCCTGTGTAGCTTTTTCACTTTGTGCTTAATCACTATTAAGTACTTGGAGATGGTGAAACTATCCTATTCCTTGTCAAACTTTCCCTCTTCTTTCAAATCTCCTGAAGTCTTTCTCTGAGTTGAGTTGTGATGGAGATCAATGGGTCTTTCAAATTATTGGGAAACTATTTGAAGAACTAAACAGTTCGTAAATATTTGACAGACTAGCTGGTACTGAACATGGCCAAAGCCATCTCTGCATCCACAGGGCTCGGGGCGGAAGACCTCTTGGGCTGGGCTTGGTGGCAGTTCAGTCACAGGAGAAATGGCCCCTGTGAAGAGGTGTGAAGAGGTGACTGTCCTCTCTGGGACACTCCTCTAAGGAGCCAGAGACATCAACGTACTGCATCTGCTTACTCATTCTCTCAAAACTGTAAACCCTCCAACAATCACACTTTTGTAGCAAAAGGACAAATCAAAAAGGCAGGAAAATAAAATAAGTTCATATCAGAATTCAGCGGGGGGAAAGAACACAGCTAATCCCAGGGTATATTGGGTTTGTGTGAATTTCTCCTAATTCTGTTGTCTCTGTGTCCAAAGTACTTTTAGTTGAGGATAATGTTCAAAAGTTGTTCCTGTACTCAGCATGGTATGAAACTTGAGCAATACGTTTCAGGTAAATCAACAACAGGAATTTAAAAAAAGAAAAAAAGGTTTTCAGGCTTATTCTCCAATTACCAAAAAGTTTTTAAAAGCGGAACATTCTTCTTTGGCAAAAATGTCTATTAAAAATAAAAAATAAAAAAAAAAAAAAGCGGAACATTCTGTTCTCTCTCAGGTCCCAGCTAATCCAGATCTTCCTCTGGAGGCTTTATTGAATACAGTAGTCGCTTTCCGGAATCTTTTGCCGAATCTCATATAAAGTTTGGCCATAGCACCTCAGATTTTTCATCAGCCCCCGTGTACCGTCCCATGCCCGTGAATCCCTTTCTTTTGCTAGAGGCAGAAACCCCTTTGTATTTGCAGATTCGTTTTCAAGAATGCTGAAAATGATTTTCTTGCTCTTTTCTCTCTTCCTCCCTCTCAGGACTTAAAACGGGCGCGTCCCAGCCCAACGGGCAGGTTCCGCAGGCCGCCCCTGCTGCCAGCGCCGCTGCTGCCCTGGGAGACGCGCAGAGACCGGCGGCCCAGGTAAGGCGGCAGAGCCGCTGACGTGACATGCCCTCTGTCCCCTGCAAACCCGGGCTCTGAACCCGCAGCTTCGTTCCAACAACTGCTCTTTGAAAGAAAGAAAATACGGTTCCAGCAATGAGAAATCACTATAATTTCATGTAGGAAATTGTTTTGTGTTTTTTATCTTAAAGTTACATACACTAGAATCCAAAGTTATCAAGGTTGCATTTGTTATATAAAAAAAAGAGAAGGTTAAATCCAATTCTTATCACACTGCTTAGGGAAAATGTAAGAATTTCTTTTAAATGCTGGCGGTATTTAGCTGCTTTTACTTTCACGAGAGTGATTTTCTTGGATTAGTCAAGTGATGTCAGCGCCCTCCAAAAGTGGCACACCTGAGTTTTATGCGGGGTGGGGGGGCCGTTCTCTCTCTCTCCCTCTCTCTCTCTGTCTCTCTCTGTCTCTCTCTCTCCGAATATATCAGGGCAGCCAGTTAGCTGGAAGTGCTAACTGGGTCCCCAAAGCAGATTAGCAGACTGCTAAAAGGGCCACACTCTAAACCGTGCATCTTGGGTGTCCCCATTGCACGGTCCCCATGACTGGGACGGGGCACGGAGGGGCGGGGCGACCGCGTGTGGGAGGCGACGCCACGAGCAGTGACCGCCTTGTCGCCCCGCTGCAGGAGAGGCGGCCGGCCCCGGGCAGCCTCCGCGAGCCGGGCGCGCCCCGGGCCCACCCGCTCCCCAAGGCCAGCCTGGCCCCGGCCCCGCCCGCGCGGCGGTCCTCGGACACCGGCTGCAGCCTGTCCGCCCGCCAGCGGGCGCGGCGGCGGCGACTTCCCGCCCCGCCGACGACTTCCTGCCGCCGCCGCCGCCGGCCGCGTGGGACGCCGAGCTGCCGCGCCGCCGCCCCCGGAGCCGCCGACTCGCCCCACTTCGTGCCGCCGCCGCCGCCCGCGCTCGCGGGGACCGGGCTCCGCGCTGCCGCCGCCGCGCCGCGCCGCCCGCGCTCCGGCCCGAGCCCGCGGGGCCGCCCCCCGCGGCCGCCAGGAGGCCGCCCGTGCCCCCCAAGAGGCTCGACGGCCCGGGACTCCCCGCCGCGGGAGGAAGCGGGGAGCAGGACTTCATGTCAGACCTCATGAAAGCCCTGCAGAAGAAGAGGGGCAACGTGTCCTAGGGACATCCAGCGATGTCGTGTGGCGTAGGGACAGGCCTCTCTCCCCTCAGGGCATGTCATGCTGCCTTACTGCCGTGACATCTTTCCTGTTCATTCTAGATCGAGGCTGGAAGTTTTCAGACTAGAAATAATGTCACACTGTTCACTGTTGTGCTCAGGTGTAACACATGCATGACCATTCACCTAACACAGAATTTAGGCTATCTGCCTAAATGTACATATCTGTCCTATATAGTCCCCTCCAAGTTAACTAAAATGATGGTTTAGGTTCATTTATTTTATTATGTTCAGAAGCATCAAATTAATAAAAAAAATCTTTCCTGAAGCCGGTATTTCTAGAAATGTCATTGCCTAAATAGAGTGCGACATCAACCCACTTTAAGATTTTGAGGAATTATACAGTTAAATAAGACAAGAAAACAAAAAGCCATGAAAATAAAACTAAGAAAATCTAAAAGGCCTATCCAAAGCCAATTAGAAGGAGAAGTGATGCAAGTGACAAGAACCTAGGATAAATTGGGCATTACATTTGTCTCTGAGCGAAAACATTACAGGTTGAAGAATTTATATGATTGCCTTTTCCTGTCCCTCCATTTTAATTTATGGAATATTTATAGCCTTGTAATATTAGAGAATCCAAAAACTATCTAAATAACTATTTTTTGAAATTGCTATATTATTCAACCATTTAAAAAGCAAAAATAAAACTGCACGTGTGCAGGATCGCAATCAGTCTGTCTTGAAGAAACTGAATATACTCTGCCTGTCATGTTTTCCTTTCTTTCTCTTTTAATTTTCTGAAAATTTTGAAGGTCACAGAGACAGAGATGGAAAATATGTCTAAGATCAACAAGACTTAAGAAGGCATAGAATTTTGAAAACTATTTTTAAAAGGTCAAGAACATTAGAAAGTTGTGTTTCTCTAATATTCTCATTATCTTCTCAAGCCTGACAGTCTCTTCATGTAAATGCACTTTCAGCTGTTATTATTTGCATTATTTCTATAATGTCCATTGAAAGGAAGCATTTCAAAATGCAGAAAGAAATAAAAGAATCCCAGAATAGAGATCACTTAGCTATGTGTGAGCACCAATTCCCAACTGCCTGTTCAGAAATAAAACATTTTTTAAAAAATCACCAGTTAATTAGCTTATCATGCTACGTAAACCAAATCAAATAGAAAATCAAAAGGCACTTTGTTAGAAAAAAACTTCTAAATTTAATCTTCAGTGGTATGAGGTTATTAATGGAAGCCTGATAAAATGACAATTGAATGATAATTATCACTAAAAACGGAGGGATTCAATTCAGCTGCCTGAAATTTCTGGGGAAGTTGCATCATACAAATGTAAACCATTATTATCTATTCCACTGTTGGCAGAGGAAGGGCTGTGCCCATTAGACATTAGCCAAATGTGGTGTTCTGGTTTCTACCAATAGCTCATGCATCATGATTTTACTTCTCAGAAATCAATTACATATTTATCCCATTAATCTCTTCACAACCTGAGACCCAGATAATACTAGGCATTATGGGGCCCATTTTATAGCTGATTAACCAGCCAACTCTTGCACAGTTAAAAAAAGGTAAACTAAGATTACAGACCAGCTGTCCCGCCTCCAGCCCACCACAATGCCTCCCCAGAGCCTGTTTAGCAACAGGGAACAAAGCTTATAATTGGTGCCTCCCTGCAAGTCACAGTCTTGACGAAAGGCACCTTTGTTCTCAGAACACCAACTCAAGGAAACTTTGACCCAAGAGCAAGCAGAAAGTTCTTTGCCAGAAAAGATCATCTTTGTGCCTAGGTTTGCAAAAGTTACCTGTGGCTAGGAGAGAACGATTTGTCTTCACTTTTCCCCTTCCATCTCCTTGGTCCTAATCCAAGTAGGTACATTTAAGCCAGGAGATTTTGTGAGGGTTTAGGGAAGCCCCTGAAACACCTCTCTGCCCGCAAGAGTTTAGTACAGGAGTAAAATAATTTTACATACACCTGCTTAATCCTGACACCTGAGCTTCACAACCAGCTCAACTCAGACCAGGAAAAAAGAACGTATACTTAAAACCCCAGTGGCTTGCCTTGGGAACCAAGGAGTGATGAGGAAGCCAGGGAGAGCCACCAGCCTTTCCATTTTGAGTTGCTAGTTTGTCTTAAGGCCCTGTAGTATCATGGGTCTGTGTGTGTTTTAAGTCATTGGAGATACATACAGAAATACTTATAGAGGAAATGAAACAATGTCTGAATTTCCCTAAAAATAATTGGGGATATGCAAATTATACCTCAACTGAAACAACAACTAGGAATACGAGGGAAGTGTGTAGAGGTATAGATGAAGCAAGACTGGCCATGTATTGATAATTAATAAGCCCATTAAATAATAAATTGGATTCATTAAATTACTAAAATTTTCCCTACTTCAGTAAGTTTAAAAATTCATAATAGAAAAAGAAACCCTCTTGGCATACAATAAAACTAAATACTTACTGATGTATCCCCAAGTGCTGAGTACATAGTAAATGCTAGATATTTACAAGTCTATTTTGATTACAACTGTCGTAAGATTTCTTAGTCATTGAGAAAAACTCATGTGATTTATCAAAAACACTTTATTATTTCATTAAAGTTATTGAATAGAACAAAAATCAAAAATGATCACAAAGATATTTCGAAGAGTAAGTTCCAGTTTATGTGGCTAAAAGTATTTATACAATCATTATTATCAAATGTAAGATTGTCATCAAAATGTGGATGATCATTCTATGATGAGTTCAATGGTAGAAGTATTCCTTAATTTATTTTTCCCAAATTAAGATGAGCAACTAACTCTGAGATCTTTAGCCCAAGAAGGAGTAGGTGAAGCGTAGCCTGCTTTCTCTGCTGCAGAATGCTTCTGGAAAGGATGCCGAAGAACTTGCTGTAGAAGACGGACCTAGTAAACAATTTAAATAGGTAAATTTAGGTTTTCTTACTTAGCCTTCATTAATTTTTTTGTTTTTGTTTTTGAGACAGAGTCTCACTCTGTCCCCCTGGGTAGAGTGCAGTGGTGTCATCATAGCTCACTGCAATCTCAAACTCTTGGGCTCCAGAGATCCTCCTGCCTTAGCTACTGGAGTAGCTGTGACTATAGGTGCGCACCACAATGCCCAGCTAATTATCTATTTTTAATAGAGATGGGGTCTCACTCTTGCTCAGGCTGGTCTCCAATTCCTAACCTTTAGCTCCCAGACTGCTAGGATTATAGGCGTGAGCCACTGTGCCCAGCCAAATTTTTAAATTTGTACAAAGGCAAGGTAAATTTTAAGTTTGTTTGAAAATGTTTCTATATTTTGTCTTATTAAAACCTTGACTATAGTTGGTACTTAGATTTCTGTTATTTTGCAGAAAGTTCCTTAAGTACTACTTTTATATTAAACTAAGAGTTAGTGGCCAGGTGCGGTGGCTCACGCCTGTAATCCTAGCACTCTGGGAGGCCAAGGCGGGAGGATTGCTCGAGGTCTGGAGTTCAAAACCAGCCTGAGCAAGAGCGAGACCCTGTCTCTACTGTAAATAGAAAGAAATTAATTGGCCAAGTAATACATATAGAAAAAATTAGCCGGGCATGGTGGCGCATGCGTGTAGTCCCAGCTACTTGGGAGGCTAAGGCAGCAGGATCGCTTGAGCCCAGGAGTTTGAGGTTGCTGTGAGCTAGATTGCTGACGCCACGGCAACTCACTTGAGCCTGAGCAACAAAGTGAGACTCTGTCTCAAAAAAAATAAATAAATAAAAGAGTATATACAGTGTCATGAAGACTACAAATATATCCTAGTAATTTTAAGGTTTTCATAGCATTAAAAGAATAATTT